CCAGAGAGGGGACTCCTCCCCGATATCGGGTACCACGCCAGAGAGGGGACCCCGCCCCGATGTCGGGTACCACGCCGGAGAGTTTGAAAAATGAAAGCAGACGAAACACAGTGCTGTGCTTCATGTCACTTCACATTTTCTATAAGACACTAATGCCATCAGCATAATTTCCATGCAGCAACAGAGTATCGAATGATGTAAATCAAGTTATGCAATCAGGCAATCAGAATAGCCTAAACCCAGCAGAACACATCCCAGGGCAGACACGAACACAGAAGAGCCCCCCCCCCGCAAAAATTCAGCAGTGTGTACACTATAAGGTGGGGACAGTTTGTCTCACTGGAAATATCCTTCATTATCAGGGGAAAAAACATCCTTCAAAGGCAAAATGGAAAGGAGAATTTCCCTGTCAGTTAGTTCATACACAACCCCACTTGTGATCTCTCAGAGTCATTTACAAAAAACATATTCGGTCAGACTGGCGTTAATCGCAGGATTAGACTTATGCTGCTTTGAAGATTTTATTATTATCATTTTATTTTCTGCTGAATGGTTCCATCGCAGTCCAGCAGATGTGACAGAATCATAAGGCATATCTACATAGCAGCACATGCCAGAACGGTGTAAAATTTGGGTTTGAAAGACGGTTTGGTTTCACAAAGAGAAGTTTGGTATCATACGGTTTCTGAGAGCAGGGGCGCAGGGGGCGGGGTGATAAAAAATTCAAAGGACTTGAGAAAATAGAACTTTAAAGCTGTCATCTCCGGTTAACGGAGCGGCTAAGCGGCTTTGTTACGTGTTTATCCCACAGGGACGGATCATGGTGGCAAGCAATTAAGAGCCGAGACTCTTCAGTGTGTGAAGAATGGGCTGCCGTCATATGGCGTGGATCTGCATCTGCAAAACGCACAGCATCCTCCTCGCAAGACACTCAGGAAAACCCAGAGTGTCATGGGAATGACCTGCTCACCCAGCCTGCGGGTGCAGAGCGGCTGCTGGAGGCATGCGGAGGGGAGGCTGGGTCTGACTGGTGCGGCTCGGCGTCATGCTCCGCTCTGCCGGTGGGTGGCAGGAGGGGACATCAGTGCCATTCGAGCAAGGCCTTAACAGCCAGGTTTACATGATCCGTCTCCCCGTAAGTGTAGAAACCTGTCAGCCACATGTCAATCAGTCACATGCCACCATTAAGGATTCGGAGACTCAAATGTGTGTGCCAGAGGAGGTTCTGTTACCCTCAGACCCGGCCTCACAGCCACAATACTCCCCACGTTCTCCAAGCCTGACTTGTTTTTAACTGGGTGATGCCCTATGGTGCACTGGCATCTGTCCGTACTCTACCCCAGGTCAGTGCTCGAAGTGGGGAAGTGCTGGTATTTCCCTTGTCATTCAGTACCAGTTGCCAATACTCCCCTTTTTATTCAGTTTCAGGTGCCGATACTCCCCGTGTTATCCGGTACCAGGTGCCAGTACTCCCCTTTTTATTCAGTTTCAGGTGCCGATACTCCCCGTGTTATCCGGTACCAGGTGCCGATACTCCCCTTGTCATTCAGTACCAGGTGCCAGTACTCCCCTTTTTATTCAGTTTCAGGTGCCCATACTCCCCGTGTTATCCGGTACCAGGTGCCAATACTCCCCTTTTTATTCAGTTTCAGGTGCCCATACTCCCCGTGTTATCCGGTACCAGGTGCCAATACTCCCCTTGTTATTTTGTACCTTGCTCTGGTACTCCCCTTGTTTTTTAGTACCAGGTGCCAGCAGACATTGAGAGGTTCTGGTACTCTGAAGAGAAAAACTAAGTAGTACTGGTACTGGGTACCGGTGAATACTGGCCCACTTCAAGCACTGCCACTGCATCTCGTTCATGATATAGCTGGATGAATGAATGGATGGACATATGGAATACCTGTTTCATGGCAACTGTTTTAAGTTTGTTCTGCAAAACTCACCAATGGTCTACGTCACATTAGCATTCCAAACCATACAGATTGAGGATGTGCCCCCCCAGGCTTCGTTAAGTCATACAAATGGCAGGAGCTGCAGCGGCGGCGGCATGGCGGCTGGGGTGCAGCTTAAGCATTCACGCTGCTGGAGCCGCAACAAGGTCAGGAGCGGAGAGTGGCCGGCCACACGCCTGCGGCCCGCACCGCCCATCACCGCTCGCTCTCCCGACTCGACACGCTCTGGCGCCTTACATATTTACCCAGCATTCCCACTAATGAGTTTGGGTGGGCACTTATCTTACATCACCGTGAGCTGAATGTTTTAACAGTCAGTGATCCCAGGAAAGAACTTGTCTCCATTTATCTCAAAGACTCACAAAGTTTTCGGTAGAGTCAGGCAGAGATATCACCTTCATAGCAGTGCTGATAAGTAAATGTGTGCCTGCGTTAATGGGACGGCACATGGAATGCCGTCATCCCACTACGGCAAATCACAAACCTGTCAACTCACAGACACAGGAGAGAACACACCCATTGGGGTTCTATTCATAAGATCCGCAAATCGGCTTTTAAACATCCTTAGACCAGGAACCAGGCCTGACAGCAGATAGCTGAAAATCCCAACTCTGAACTGTTTTATATCACATTATTTCTAAAGAGTCATGTTAATAAGACATTCAGTTTTATAAAGTGGAAAGACTAGAAGCTAATTTCCACTGTGAATAGGTACCATATGCACAGGGGCCTGTTAGCTTGATGCTAATTGCTCCCACCTAGTCTTCACTGTACTGAAAATAGACCCTCTGCTGGTGATTTTTTGGAAAATGACGACTCCACATGGTGATGCCACAAACGCCCGTTTCCTGTAGTGTCATGTTCTGACACAAGCTGCTTCACAGACCTTGTGTATCTGACTTCATGTATCTGCAACCTTAAGCCCATCCGAGAGGGTAAAGTCATAGCATTGGTTGGGCAACTACACCTCACAGGTGCTAGCACCCCCTGCTGGTGGCCACACTGAGTTCTCACTTGCGAGGCCTTCTAATTCCACAAAAGGTCACAGATGAGAAACACAATGACAGTGATGAAGTGAGCCTTATGAGAACACAAGAATGTGACATAGCAGCTGGCATGTAAAATTGGCTCCTGATTAGATAAGCGGGAGAAGGCTCACGCAGCTGCGAGCTCTGTCTGTCCAGAGTGCAGTCTGTCCACAGCACGATCTCCGTCCAGAGAACGTTAAACAGCTTGGGATTTTACACATGCAGATTGCTGAAGCTCTGCAGTCACTGTTGCAGCCTCCAAAGAGCTTCACTCGAAATCCCACAGCCAAGCACATCCGAGGGAGTTAACCCATAGAATTTTAGGGCAGAATAACCCGGGGGGGCGGGGGGATGGGGGTCATTGGGGTAGATACTCAAAATCCAGTTTGTAGATTCTCAGTGCTCCAAAGGAGGCATATAAGAATGGAGTATATTGCTGTCGTACTCAGGGGTGGTAGCAATTAGGTTTGTAATTACAATTCTGCCACCTTGAGCGGAGAACAAGTAAAGCGAAGAGAAAACTTCACATCCCAGGAGATTTGGGCCAAATGCGGACCTGGATGGTGCAGCCGGCCCTAAGAATAGCAGGCGTGGACCTCCGGGGGCAGCATTCAACGGAAACGTGGGATTCTTTATTTATCCCCGACATGCAAATAGATTTATCTTCCGTGTTTCTCCACCTGTGAAGCATGCTTCCTCCTCCTGGTCGGCCAGGTTGTTCCTTCTGGCGGTTCCACCAGGCCACCGCCCCTGGGGAGGCGGGAGCGCTTCTGCAGTGGAGTTACCTCTCTGCGGGAAACCAGGGGCGGCGGGGGGGGGACTTGAGGGTGGGGGGGTTAGAGGGAGGCTGAGGGAGGACAGGCTCTACTCTCATCCCCTTGTCTACTCTGTTGGGATATTTTAGGTCACGCAGTTCTCTGGGAAAAAGGCTTGGCACACGCTTTCTCTGCACCGATGGGGGCGGGGGGGCTGTGTAATTCTCTGGTCATTGGTTCACTCATCTCTCTGTTCTTTTCCCACAAGCTCCCCGGTGTCCCATTCACCCTGGCTGTGTTCATAATTACAGAGGATGTGTGGGCTGTCTTCAGACACCCTCCCCGGCAACGTCCGCTGGGACACCAGCCTGTCTCAGAGATACTGCAGCTCAAGATGTTCACCGTCTCAAGTTTAGCATGGCTGTCAGGCTAAACCACGGATGAGAATCACAACCAGAAGGCAGACAGGCTATGGTGAGAGACGTCGAACGCGTCAAGCTTTCAGATGATCAGATCAGTCTATGCACAGAACCCCCCCAATCAACCCAGAACCTAAAACCTAGAACTTAGAAATACAGTCGGAGGTGTTTACAGCATATTACAGAATTTAAGACTGCAGATTTCCTACATATTTTTATGTGTAACGAATACCTGCGAGATTCCTGTTTAGCTCATCATAATTCCTGCCATTAAGTCCCTTTTCCGAGGCCCGCCAGGCCGTGGAGGTACCAGCTGGATGTTGGCTACGAGCAGCGTCCTCGCTTGAGGAACCAGGAGACAGCCTGGAAGACATTGCATTAATATGAGTCTCAAAACCTGCAAGGGTTTTGAAGGCATTTTCAAAACGTGCAAATCATGCGATTGAGGGCGGTGATTTTAAGCTCATTCAGTACTGATATAAAAAAAAAACAATGTGCGATTCCAGGATGAGTCCAGCCTTGGGAAACTCATTTCCGTATTTGCCCTCGACTCTGCATCATCTCACATCTGCCTGAGCGGCACCATCCAGCGAGGACATCCTGCGCGGACAGAAGTCATTAAATCTAAATATACGATAAACATCATTTTAATCAGACATGAATTCGAAAGTTAAGGTCAAATGTCTATGTTTTTGTAAACAAGGTCAGCCACTTGTAGGTTTTGGGTTTTATGAAGCAGTGATGGATTTTTTGGTGCTGCAGTATCCCAGGCTAAATCCATCTCACCTGGTAGATTACAGCCACCACCGCCACAAAAATGTCTTCTTTGAACGAAAATATACTAATTTATTTTTTCCCTCACAATCCTTGCCCCCCATAATTTTTCGCCTACTAGACAGTGACACTGTTTATCGAAATAGCCGAGAATAAACTGGGAAAAACAAGAGCGACACACAGGCTGCCGTATCACGGGCTCTGAACAACAGGAGCGGCTGTTTAATCGGACGCCGTGTCGATTCGGGGAAGCCGGAAAACAAAAGGTGGCCCCCTGCCGTGCTCGATTACCCCCGAACTTGTGTGAACGAGCTGAGCTGAAAGCGCCGTCCGTCTTTTGGGGGGGGGGGGGGGGGGGGACCCTTTGACATTCGGGCTAAATGGGGGCAATAGCTTGGGGACCCTCATTATACGAGGGCAGCTGAGTGACAGCTGAGGTGAGAGGGGGAGGGCCGCCACTGCTGTCTGCGGGGGGCTCATTAATAAAATTAAAGGACTCAGCGGGGGCTGCTATCAAGAGCGGCACGCCTCGCTCTCTGCACAGCCACCCGTCTCACCTTGGATGTGGGTGGGGCTTCGGGGGATGAGGACGAATGAAAAGGCACAGGAGGCGGGCTGAAGGACAGCTCTGGTGGTGCTGATTTCTGAGCGCCTCCTGCTGGTACCCTCTGTGTAGATACAGTCAGAGCGCGGGGGAGTTACAGAGTAACATGTCACGCTGTGACCATTTAAACACTGAAACGAAAGTGCTTGTCTGGAAATCAGATAGATAAACGTTGGAATTTAAAATCCCACATCACACCTACCAATTTACAAATATGATTAAGAAATAACCTTGTGCCAAATCATAGGTGAGATGATAGTGTGGTATTTGAACTTTGCAGTTCATTATAATTAAAAATATATATAATAAAACACCATGGGTTTAAAAATATATATATTTTAAACTATATTGCATGAAAGTGAAGAAATATACTATAATTAAATGGAGTAAAGTGTAACACTGTAAGACAGTGGAAGACCGTGATTAATTCACAGGATTTATGCAGTGTGTTGCGGACCCATTTCTGCCCAGATAGTGCTTAAAAACCCAATCGCTATCGTGCTTTGAATTCTGAAGACTCCCCAGGGCAGGGCCTACGAAACCAGGGATGCCATCGTCACGGCAACACGCCGGCATAATGCGGCAGCCGTTGGGTGGCGTTCGGAAGGATGGCGCCTGGCCATTATCAAATGACAGCAGCGGGATTAAAACACAGACAAGGAGCATATAAAGCATCCCCCCCCCCACCCCACTGGCACGTAACGAAAAAGCGGGGGGGTGTGCCAGCCCAAACACAAGGCGGAAGGATTCTGACATGGGGTAATTTTGAAGACACCAACCCACGTTATACACACAAACACACAGAGATGCGCCCCCCCCCCCCCCCCCCCCCCCCCCCCCCCCCCCCCCCCGTCTCCCAGCCCCCGGCACTGCCGCCGTGAGACGTTACCTTAAAGGAAATATTTTGCCCTTGAGCTGAAAACGTGGAGACCAAAGCGGCGAGGCGAGGGCTGAGGCGCTGCCTCTCGCAGTACGTCTCAATTACAGAGCGTATCTCTTAGTTCCTCCGTGCCGCAGACAAGAAACTGGGCCAGCGCTGTGCACTTACACCACGTCAAGCAGCATTGTTTAAACATTAAGAGAAAAAACCCGCCGTACAAATTAATTTAGCTGTCTGTCACACATCTCCCCCACACTTCAGCAGCCCCCGCCCCCTTTTTCATGGCCCCCCAGTCCTCTGCCACAGCCTCACACACGGTATATATACACATGTCCTACTTTTCACAAGGCATCATGAATAATGTGCAGAGCGCCTCATGAATGAATCATAACGGACGATGAATTATTGATCCGACAGAGCGATGTAAGTGTAGGTTACAAAGTGTGTTTACCCACAGAAAGTTAATCGCTCTGGTTTATTAATTCTTGTGCTTTAAACAGGGGACCTGAAAGACTATGATGTATAATTACTGCCTGCCGTTTAAAAGCAACTTTATCGACAGGATAAAAATAAAAACGTGAACTTTGCGTGAACTCCAGCACAACACTTCATGGTGTCTTTAGATTACCGTGCTTTTCTCTGCTTCCCATGTTACGGAGCTCTATTGTTGTTGTTGTTGTTGTTGTGCCACAGGAGCGATTCTGCATGGCGAAAAGAATTGCAGCTGCGGTTTGTGCCGAAGGCATAGCTACGATGCGGTAATTACACATCTGTTACACATGGGGTCCATAGGATTGGCCCTTCGAGGATGAGGGTCGATAAAAGCTGCCCCAATAGGAAGCCTAAACATCTTCTGCAGAGTTTTGGTGGTCACAGCACAGTGCAGGACCACATAATGCTACGCTACGCTAAATTATTTAGCTTTATGCCTGAATCTGGTTCTCAAAGATGCTGACTCTCTGAAGAGCGCTGAGAGGAAAACAGAGTGTCTGGCTGATTGTTCTACAGCATAACAGAAGGATGCGAGTGAGAACTGAGAATTTCTGCTACCTTATTTGGGCTGAAAAAGCAGTTCTAAAATCTGAGCCTGTTCGTGATGAGGCGTGTAGATTTTCCCACGCATAGTGGGTTCAGCTTCAAGTTCAGAAACACACGTGGCAAGATTGTGCTGTTGTGTTGGGAAGCACTTTGTTCAGCGTCTAGCTTGTCCCATTTATAGAGCCCTGTGAAGTCCTGGGATTTTTAGGTTAGGGTATGACAGAAGCGCCCAGCGGGGAGATGCCGATCTTGAGCTTGGGAGTTGAACTGGCTGGTTTGAATGCAGCTGTGCCGCACTGAGTGGTTTCTTCCAAAATGGCGGTGTGCTTTCCGGGCCTCCTTGCTCACCCCCCAAGCTGCTACTCAGCCTTAAGCGACTACTTTTACAGCGTGTCGATGCTCTCCTTGGCAGCTACTAGCAGTAACCCCTTCCCAGGCCTCCAAAGAAACATCGTGAGATCTGAAGGCCTGAGAGGCAGAGTGAAGCTTCAGGAAAGCTCCCTGCACCACGCGTGACTCTCGCCTGACTCCCCAACCATCTCGCTCTCTTCTGGACAAATATAACTAGCAGCAGCCGCCTCCATCACACTTTTTTCTTAAAATAAGTGTGAGACGTGAACAGTTTCCAGTTTCAGAGAGGGTGTTAAGAGATTTGTTCGCAGATTGAATCCTGACAGAATCTCACGCTGAAGCTGCCAGAATCTCGACAGGAGTCCTTCCTCACACCCCGTGCGCTCAGTCGCCGTGCCCATCTGGGCTCCCTGCTCTGCGAGTGTGAAAATAAGAATGCGAGGCCATTCTGCGCCTCTCAACGGCCCTGCTTTTTCTTTCTTTTTTTTTTTACTTTTGAAAAACTGTGCGACCGCAAATTGGTCCCGTGGGGGGCAGCTGTTTGAGCTCTGTGTTTACCGAACAGGTAACGGGGCCCCTATTTACCGAGAGAGGCCGGCAGCCGATCTCAACAGACCTGCATCTGTTGTGATGGTTTTAGACACATGTATCATAACACACCCCATCAAACATGGCTCTCTGCCGAAATGAACACTTTGCATCACTTTTAAGACTTGAGCTGTACATTTCCCTTGAACATTGCTGCACCTACATGCTGGTGCAGCAGAGGTGCATGCTGTCTGCAGCGTAGTACCTGCATGCCATCTGCAGCATAGTACCTGCATGCTGTCTGCAATGTAGAACCCATATTCCATCTGCAGAATAGTACCTGCATGCTGTCTGTAGTGGAGTATTGACATGCTCTCTGCAGCATAGTACATGCATGCTGAACTTCTATCCCTCAATCTTCCATATTGTCCTGGCCAGGAGCCTGTCCCACACACACAGATTTATAATTACTGTATATCTTTGTGGGGAAACTCCATTCATTTCTATGGGGAACACTCTAATCCCAGCATGACAACCTTAATCGCTACCCAGCTCTAACCTTAACTAAAAGTAATCAAACAAAATATGAGCAATTTTTAGTTTCGGGATTGCATTCACAGATCTTTGTGGTTACCTGAAAAAATATTTTTTATTACATTGTGGGGGATATTTGGTCCCTACAATGTAATATAAACATAATACACACACACGCACACACACACACACACTTGTGGTGGCCGTCCATTCATTTCTAGGTCAAAACCCTAATGCCAGCTATGACGACCTTAACCCCTACCCAGCACTATATATATCTGTCTTTGAGTGTCAGGAACATGCACACCCCACCCTCACAATCAGGGTGGGAACTGAACCCTCACCCCAGGAGATGCATACATTACTGCTGCATTATTACTGATTCATAGTTTGTCAGATGCTAGCAATAGTCTAAAAGGTACCTTATTAACAGTGCTGGGGAGTAACTAGTTACATGTGACAGTATTACATAATTACATTGCAAAATAAATGTAAATCTGTTACAGCTACTGAGAAAGAAATATGCAATTACATTACAGTTACTAATCAAAATGGTGATTTCAAAGGAGTTACATCTCAATATATTCTTTTTGGTAAAAAGCTTATATGTAGAACATAACATTCATTCTGTTGTTTTGCATCATTTCACGGTTC